TGCTGTGTTCATCCAGCTCTACACCTTGTTATCTCTGTAAAAGTTTCAAAGTCACATTGATGTCTGCTGTCAAATGTAAAGTACATGAAGTAAATGTACTGAGAGGATTGGGATTTTCCTTAATCCTACTTGCCAAGGTCATTTCATTGTCCCTTCTAGCCCTCTTAAGTGTCTTGTTTGATTTCAGTTTCCTCAACGTTGCATATGCTTCTTTTCCCCTTTTTCACTAAAGCTTCACTATTTCTTGTCAGTCATGATTCCTGAATCTTGCCATCCTTGCCCTTCATGTTCCCAGGAACATGCTGGTCCTGAACTCTGACCAACTGGCCTTTAGAAGACTCCCAAATGTCAGATGTGGATTAACTCTCAAACAGCAAAGCTACCATCTAATTTTGCCAGCTCCTGCCTAAAACTGTTATTAAATTTGCCTTCCCCAAATTTAGCACTTTCACACAACGACCCAAATTATGCGAATTGGTCTTCAGTTGACAAGTTGTAGTCATTTTATTTATTTTTAAAAAATCTCTTCAGATTCCTTGTAGGAAGTTTTGGAAAAATGCAACTTCTACTTCACTGTTCAGTTTACCGCTGAAAAGTGTGAGGTGATTCATTTTGGAAGGACAAACTTGAAAGCAGAAAGGGTTACCGGAAAGATTCTTGGCAGTGTGGAGGAGCAGAGGGATCTTGGGGTTCATGTTCACAGTTCCCTGAAAGCTGCCACCCAGGTGGATAGAGTTGTTAGGAAGGCATATGGTGTGTCAGCTTTCATTAATAGAAGGATTGAGTTTAAGCGCCATGAAGCTATGCTCCAGCTATACAAAAGCCTGATTCGGCCACATCTGGAATATTGTGTCCAGTTCTGGTCGCCTCATTACAGGAAAGATGCGGAAGCGTTGGAAAAGGTGCAGAGGAGATTTACCAGGATGTTGCCTGGAATGGAGGGAAGGTCTTACGAGGAAAGGTTGAGAGTGCTAGGGCTTTTCTCTTTAGAACGACGAAGGATTAACGAACTGGATGAGTTTTTAAAACAGTACATCATTAGGCTAGCTTTTTGAGTTAATTATTCTACCATAACAGTGAGGCTTTTACAGATCACTGGCATATGCAACAATTAAAGTTAATTCTTCCTTCACTCTCACTTAATTCACCAACCTGAATAATTCTGCATCATTCATCTGCAGGTAAATAATCTTGACAACAGATAACATGTCTTCTGGATGTCTTTTTAAACAACATGAACATTCCCTTACATTCTCGTTGTTTTGAGTTCAGTAAAACAAAATCAGGTTCTGCATGACCTACAAATTCACATCAATTCTGATTTTGCTGATGAAACCAAGTCATTCCTGACTTCTGAAATTAAGCATATTCATTCTGGCATGAAAGCATTGTTTACACAGCAGTGCCTGCTGACAAGGTAGCCCGATACTTCCCAGTCAGTTCCTTAGGTAAAGGCACCAGACCTGGGCAAGGAACCTGCCCTTCGACCTCACACATGCATTCCCGCAGACAGTACTTCTTAGGCCCAAAGTGCGCAGGGTGTGAATGCTCCTTTCGTGCTTGCTCTTCAGCTTCCAGCAATTCTCTGTGAAAACACATGTCGGGAGCAAAATCAGCACTTTATTACATAATTATTACACACATTAACATCAATGCATTAGCATTCATTTCAAGATGGCTAGAATATAAGAGCAGAGCTGTACTGCTGAGACAGTATAAGGCTCTGGCCTGACCGCATTTGGGATATTGTGAGCAGTATCTAAGGATGGATGCTGGATGGAGTCCAAAAGGTGGTTTACAAGAAAGATCCTGAGGGATGAAGAGTTTGTCAAATGAGGCGCAGTTGCAGACTCTGGGTCTGTACGCAATGGAGTTCAGAAGGATGAGGGGGATCTCACTGAAACTTAGAATAATGAGCGCTCTGGAGAGGGTGGACATGAAAAGCATATTTCAACTACTTGAAGGGACTAGGATCCTAGGACGCAGCCTGAGCGAAGGGACAACCTTTTAGAACTGAGATGAGAACATAGAACATAGAACATTACAGCACAGTACAGGCCCTTCGGCCCTCGATGTTGCGCCGACCTATGAAACCAATCTGAAGCCCATCTAACCATATCATCCATATGTTTATCCAATGACCATTTAAATGCCCTTAAAGTTGGCAAGTCTACTATTTTTGCAGGCAGGGCATTCCACGCCCTTACTACTCTCTGAGTAAAGAACCTACCTCTGACATCTGTCCTATATCTATCACCCCTCAATTTAAAGCTATGTCCCCTTGTGCTAGCCATCACCATCCGAGGAAAAAGGCTCCCACTGTCTACCCTATCTAATCCTCTGATCATCTTGTATGTCTCTATCAAGTCACCTCTTAACCTTCTTCTCTCTAACGAAAACAGCCTCAAGACCCTCAGCCTTTCCTCATAAGACCTTCCCTCCATACCAGGCAACATCATGGTAAATCTCCTCTGCACCCTTTCCAATGCTTCCACATCCTTCCTATAATGCGGTGACCAGAACGGTACACAATACTCCAAGTGCGGCCGCACTTTAGCCAGAGGGTGTTGAATCTAGAGAATACATTGCTACAGAAACCTGTGTAGGCCAAGTCAGAGTGTATTTAAAAGTAGAGACAGATTACTTCTCAATTAATAAAGGCGATCAAGGGATACAGGGAGAAGGGAAGAGAATGGGGTTGAGAAATGTTTCAACCATGCGTGAATAGCAGAATAGCTTTGTTGAGCTGAATGATCTAATTCTGCTCCTATATGCCGTTCCTTCACTGTCATGGGATCAAAATCTTGGAATTTCCTCACAAATAGCATTGTGGGTCAACCTACAGCATGTTAATTGCAGCAGTTCAAGAAGGCAGCTCATAACAACCTTCCAAGGGCAGCTTGGGACAGGCAATAAACACTGGCCAGGCAGCGAAGCCCACGTCGTATCAGTGAATATAAAGAAAGCTCACTTACTTCAATCAAGAATTTTTAAAAACACAAAGAAGTGAAAAACTGCCTTTACACTAACAACTTCTGTTGAAATTTGTGCCAAATGTTCTTGTCAATTTATTTGTGACCACCTTGTTTTGGTCCTGCAGTCTACTGGTCTCTACCTAAGCACAATTTCCCCACATCTGCTCTATCAAACCTCTTTGCTGCTTTACACTCACTTCTGAATTAATTTCTCAGAAACAAAAATTGAAGTCGTCTTGTTACTTACATCGATTTGTGCACTTGTACCTCTACAACTCTTTGTTACTCTATCCCATTAAAAATATATGCTGAAAGCAAACTGTAGCTTAATAAAACATCAGGGCTAGCAGAGGGGACTGGCACATAAGTAACTCCAGACCCAGGGAACTATTCCCTCAACTGCAGTAACTGTGGGGGGAGCAGAAAATTCAAGGGTGCACATTTATTAAGTAGAGGCAGGCATACATGAATGAGACCACAAAATCCTCCATTCGATGCTGCCTGACTTGCTCAATTTCTCCAGGCTTTTTTGTTCTTATCTTGAATTTCATTATTTGGTTTACCAGCTTTTTCAACCTAAAGTACCTCTTTGAATGTATGACAGCCTCAATCCCTAAATCCCCGTTATGCCCCAGGTTGGTTGCACCCAACTGTAACTACAATTTATTATTCAACAGCACCTCATACTTGCCGACTTTGAATTGCATCACATCAGTCACACTATATTCCACTGAGACGAAGGTAGGAGTCCAAAACTAGAGGGCATAGGTTTAAGGAGGGAGTGGAAAGATTTAAAGAGAACCTGCGGGGTGACTTTTTCTTTCTCCACACAGTGACTGGTAGGTATATGGAACAAGCTGCCAGAAGTGATAGAAGCAGCTACAATTACAACATTTAAAGACATTTTGACAGGTACATGGACAGGAAAAAGTTAAGGGATATGGGCCAAATGCTGGCAAATGGGACTAGTTCAGTTCAGGAAACCTGGTCAGCATGGACAAGTTGGGCTGAAGGGCTTATTTCTGTGCTGTATGGCTCTATGAAGAGACTGCTTTGTACTGAGGCTTCATCCATGACAGCCATGCCAATAAATAAAACATGGGATCCTCTAATAACTCACAAACAAGCAGACAAGGATGGGACAGGGTTAAGCTTCCAGCGTGAAAACAGCAAAGCAAAGCTCACCGGCTCTTTCCCAGGATGGTCTTCACATGTTCAACAATTTCTTTATGGTTCTTTCCTTCAACATCAACCAAAACCTGTTCACCATCATCTTAGGGAGAAATTGCAAAAACAAAAGATAGAAAACTGAAACAGTACCACATTGTTCCCCCACCACAGTTCTATATCATTCCACCCTCCTTTGGAAGACACAGTACCACACTTCCACCACCACCTCCCATTTGATCATCAGCACTCTCCCAAAATCTGTCACTCAAAGCAGGTTGGCCAACTCGTTTGCAAGAATTGCCTCAGTTTAACAACAAGCTTCAAAACGATGGCACATGCAGACACATACCCAAATAAAACTTTAGAAAAGGTGATGGTGTCAGGTTCTTGAACATAACAATTTGAACCCAAGGATTCTGGTACTGGATCTGAGGTATGTTGAAGAAAACAAACTTTCTGAAAAGAAATAAATATAAACAAATCAGCATCACAAATCTAAAATGTCCCTGTATAACTGGTGTATTGCAGCAAAAGCATACAGGATATGATTTCACATCATTTGCAACTTACAATTTTGAATCATTTTCATTATTTGGCTGTACAAATGACATGGAACACTGTTTGTAATATTAACCTGTTGCAACGATTGCAACCATCATGGCCAAGCACAAAAGACTAATATTTGAACTTTTTCTACTTAAAAGTGTAACTTTGCAATGTGTAACTTTTAACCTTATTTCATATGCTTACACTATAAATACTGCAGAGATAGTAGGAACTGCAGATGCTGGAGAATCTGAGATAACAAGGTGTAGAGCTGGATGAACACAGCAGGCCAAGCAGCATCATAGGAGC